CTTTAAAGTGGGCAAAGTAAGAGTTGACGCATAAGCTTAGTTTGTGCGTCGATTTGGCCGGCACTGCAAACAATTCATTAGCATGGAAAATATTTGTCTTGTAGGCTGGTCAGAGTCGAAGGATAGGTTGACCGAGGAGGCTACTGATAAGCGGGCTATGATAAGCGGATTTTAATGTCACACCCTATGGTATGTTTACGTTTTATGGTAATTGTGTAGGAAAGCTGGTCGTAATATTATAAGTGAGTATCGGTGAGTAATCTTGAATATTATTAGTTATAACGGTCGTAGGTTCATGCCCGTTTGTTATTGTTATTGTTTTTGTTTTTGAATATAATAGCCACTTGAGAAGTACAAGACGTTTAAAATCATCGAGCGCGTCATCCTAATGGCATCTATTTTCAGAGCAAAACAAATTCAATGATGTTAGGCAATCGAATTGAAGTAATTACAGGCCTAAGGAAAATATGCATAATTAATGCGATAATTAATCCATTTACGCGGAATCGTTAGGTAGGCGAATGGGCGGTGAGGATAGATTTTTGAAGTGCATACGGGCTCGTGCATTTCCGACTAAGTGATTAAAATTCATGTAACAATGACGAGCAGATAAGAGGCCTTGTCGTATAAAGGTCTGCGAACGATCGAATTGTCAATTACCGATGACATTGCAACGACCAATAAATAATTTCGCTGCGGAAGCGCGCGGTATTTTCAGCATTGATTAACTAATTGGGAGAATGACGAATGGCGACGGGTAAACGAGCCAAGCCAAACCGATGTTTGGCAAGAGATGGGAGGGGTTGATGGGCGGTTGTGTGATGAAGTGGGGTAGTGGGATTTGGCTGGGCCGATGTAGCGGGAACAGTGAATAATAGTGAAGGGGAAAGATAGCAATTTGGGAAACTTGGGTGGGGTAACGGGGACGGCGGAGGAGGAGGAGGAGGAGGAGGAGGAGGAGGAGGGGGGTGAGTTGAGTGAGTGGAGGTATAGAGAAGGGTGGCGATGGTGGAGTCGAGGAAGAAGAGAGGAAGCCGAGCGAATTGCGTAAAGTAAACGCGGAGGTAGAAGCTACAAGTGGACGTACAAATCGCGGCGATGAATATTGGCGTAGTGAAGCGCTTTTCAATTTGACACGGTGATTTATAGCGGATCGAGCGCATGCGCCAGGATATCGGCCGCTCGGAATAAAGCGCACATAAAAGCCACATCGGAGATAGACAGACACAGAGAGAGAGAGAGAGAGAGAGAGAGAGAGAGAGAGAGAGAGAGAGATTGGGACCACCGAGTGGATAGCTATCAGCGAGGCTTGCGCAGGAGTGGTCGGAGAGTACCGTTGCTTTGCTCCAGTTAGCCGAGCCATCCTCGACTCTATTCCTTTCTCGTGGCAGCTCCTCTTCCGAGAGACGCGACGTCTCTCCTCGACGCGTTGTGCGAGCGGGCGACGCGAGGCCCCTCGATCTCCCGGTCCAATCGATGAAAGAGAAACTTGAGCTCGCCTCGGCGATCGCGCGCCACCTTATCTCCGGACTTATCTTATCCCCCCGTAGAGGAAGGACTTGCGCGCCTCTCCTTCTTTTTCCCCTTCACAATCGAGTCTACGCCTACGGAGGGTATTTTGCGCACTGAGCGGCTCTATCTCGCGCACTCGAAGGGCTTGCGAAATAACGATATTAAAATGGGTATGGTGCACTTTCTTATCTGCGCATGGTATCTGAATGTCGCTGATAAACGTGTTACATGCGGCTCCTTGACGTAAAAATAATTTCCCATCCTTTATTCGAGACGTCGATTCCCTGCGAATTCATTTGTAAATCAACATCCATTTCATCTGTATTTTCATCGTATTATCGTGTTAAGTAATAAGATCTCGTTTTATACTCTACATTATCGAATCTTCGGTTATCGAATATCATAAGATTTAGTCCAACGAGACGATTTTAGCGCGATGTTAAATAAACATTATTTTAATAAGTTTGTCGAATTCCAGTAAGCCCATATGAAAATGACGGAATTACTAAATAAAGTTTGTTTAAAAGAAATGTTGCATCGTAATCGTCATACCCGACGAGAAATTCTAAAATTATTATTCATTATCGAGCGCGTAATTAATTATATATTCCTAATATTTCATTAAAAATTATATACACGCGCGCGCTTATAATTTCAATTACATAACATTTAAAGCTAATACGTTAGATTTTATTTTATTTCTTTTTTTTTTGCACGATGATCACTTGTTGGTCGATAATTATAAATTATAATTATAAGTTATTAATTTGAAGCCAAAAGCACGCATTTGCTTAAAATTTATCATATAATTGAATTAGACATTTTAGTTTAAAAAATTTGCGCGTATTCAATATAAAGTTTAACTAGTTGTTGTATACATTTATAACAATATATCAGAAGATCTTGAAACGTTCAGGTTGCTATTTCCTAAAATTAATAAATCTATATATATTGGAAGTATGATGTTGTGCACGCAGGCAATAAATAAAATTAATATAATTTTATCGTTAAATACGAAAAAGCCTGATTGATGTAATAAGGATCACGATTTAATATTGCTTTACTTAATCATTGCTCGAATTATTTCTACATCATAGTAAAAGTTCGTGCAATGCTTATGAATGTATTGAAATCGAAATAAGTTATCGCCGAAACAAAGACTTTATAGAAACATCGTCGATTTATCAAAATAAATAATATAATGCATTTAACGACTCGCGATGATTGAATTGCACTTTTTTTTCAAGTAGCTTGTCCTTATAAAAGTGAGTCACTTGAAAGTAATACAGTTTTACACATACATAAAAGTACTTCGACTTGATTCATTCTATTATTTAATATAAAAAAGCATGCCAATAACATGCCACTACCGCAGACTTGTGCTTTCATAAATGAGATGCCGTTGAGCTCACAAAAGCGACAATGTTGACTACACTCTTGCCAAATTAAATGACGCTGTGTTTTTCGTCTCAATAATTTCATCGGAGCAATACATTATCAATTGAATGTATTATTTTAACTGATATTGAAAGGATCCTTTTGATTTTGAGGAGGTCAATTTATCCCATCAGCATAAATAACTTATCGTCATGAGCAAATATTATGACGCAATGATTGCCTATTATCAAATTCGCTAAAAAATATTCGTCGTCACATTGTAAAAATTAAGCCAAATGAAATGTTACGCCATCGTGAAGAACAAACGATAATATAAAAAGATCGTGCGTCGAAGGCCAATAATTATTATACTTGGTTATGCATGAACGCGCGCGCGCATGCACAAATTGTGTTGCGTGTATGAATTAAAACTTTACAGGAATATAATAAAGAATTATCTAAAGGATACTGTACACGTCTAGACTGTACAAATATATATTTGGTATTTTATTATTATTGTCTATAAATTAGATGCTAAATGGGTGAAGTAAGCATCGATGAAATAAAGCAGTAATTTTATAGGTATTAAAAGCAATAATATATTAAACATGTAATATGTGTGTGCGTGTGAGAGAGAGAGAGAGAGAGAGAGAGAGCTAGAGAAAGAGAGAGTTATATTGAAATGTTGGAGGGGGAGGGGAGAAAATAAACTGTTCGAGTGCTCTGGCTTTTATAAACCGCAGGAAATACCGTTATTAGCCAAAATGGGTTTGAGGGTTGATACTACCTCTCTACTTCGAATTATCGTCAAATCATAATAAAGTTACCTTATTCGGCACCTCTGCGGCCGATTTTCGATCACCATTAAGACAAATTCTCGACAAATGGTACTCTTTGGCACATAGAATATCCAACTTTGCGAGCATGCGTATCGCTTTCTTGTTAGTCTTGCTCTTCTCCTACAGCACCTCCTCGCGCATGCAATATATAGAGACATCAACGCGTGAAGCGCGACGCCGGCGGGAGACTTCGATGCGGTTCTCAAGATAATTTCTCATTAAGTTAACGTCTCCTCTTTTTCTAGCGTAACTCTCCGTTTTCAAATTAAATTTTCCCCCGCACTTTTTTACGCGATTTTTTGCCCTATGTCAGCGCCGACAGAAAAAGACGAGTCGGCAGTTTTCTCAACATTCCGCTTTTTCCCTCGAGTCGATACCTTGTCAATGCTGTAATTGGATTTTAAATTATTGTACTATCTTCATCGAGCATAATATACGTTTATAATAAATCAGAGCTACGTATTTATTTGATTACACGGCCAATAATACGTTAGCGTTAACATTCTTTTTTTTTTTCTTTTTTTTTTTTATCGATTCCAACGTCAAGTAATCGCGCAACTTTTTCAACAACGCCGTATAATCACATAGTAAAAATGACAAACATTTAAAATATATAATATTTGAGTAGTGCTATGATGAATGGCTCATTAGGTTTCATTCCACGCAATCAACCATATCCACACAAGAATATGATCATTAGCAAAAACTTTATAATTAGCATCGCCATCGATTAATAACAAATTTTCTATTTACGTAGCATCCGTTAAAAGAGAAATCTCATTAGCACATGTCACGCGAATGATCCATAACCAACCATCTTTGATCGATAAAAAATTTTTGTGTGGGCCGCTTCCCGTAACTCGAGCGCACGAAGCAGGTGTGCGCCTTCGCTCCAAATTAGTCCGCGCGACGGCATCTCGCGCCAGCCAAAGACTTAGACTTTTATACAGCATTTTGCTCAACGAGAGCCGGAAGCTCGTCCAGCACATCCTCCAGTCCCTATAAACAACCCCCCCCCCCCACAACCAAATCAGGGC